TAAATATTATTTCAAGATATTTTATGGATTAAAAATATAAAAATATGAACTTTTTTTATTTTTTAAAAAACATCTACAATAGTGAACTCAAACTTAATTTAAAATAAACTAAAACTTAAAATAATTTTGAGATATGGTTTCTTAATTTAAAATGAACTAAAACTTAAAGAATTAATTAATATTTAGTATATTAAAATATTTTTTAAAAAATATATTTTGTTTGGATATTCAAGCCCAGCCTAATCTGTTTTGGTTTGGCTTGAATTTTTTTACAACTCAAATATTAAAAATTTATTTTTTTTAAATTACAAATAGGTTGTAATCTAGGCTTTTCTGCTTTATTTTTTTTATGATTATTGAGTGGAATTTTTTTTTTGTTATTCATAAAAGGTTCTTATCTATAAATAAGTCCTACAAATTTATTAACATATAGTGGAGTCTCAAAATGCTTAGGTGTCATTTTATGGCAAGTGCCCAAACATGAAATTTCTCCTTAACAAAACTTTTTAATTACAAGCTAACTTCTTAAATTTACTTGTACACATTAAAAGCTTGATTTGTAAATTTATGAAATTTAACTTATAAATATTAAAATATTAATACTGTAAAATGTTCACTTGTAAAAAATTTGACTTGTAAATTAAAGTTTTGCCAATAAACTTGTGATGTTTGACTTTAAATATTAAAGTACTAATATTTTAATAAAAATATTTTTTGATCCGTTAATGTTTTTTGGTGACTAGTCAATAGGTAAACCTAGTCAACATTAATCATATAAGTATAAATTTAAGATAAATGTTTGGACTGATGAATTTAAATTTAAAATTTTACATTTTAAATCTCACATTTAAAATTTATGTATTTAAAATTTTTTATTTGTGTAGTTTAAAAAATTTCAAATAAATAAAATAGATTATTTGAAATTTGAAATGAAAATGAAAAATTGAAAATAATGAACTTATCTCTATTTTTAATAGACAGGAGACAAGAAAGAGAGATAAAAAAATATGAGAGTTGTAGGGATATCAATAATAAAAACAAGGATAAAACAAAATATTTGAAGTAATTAGACTTTCAAGTGACTATAATATTGAGAAATTTTGAAATTTTGAAAGAATTGTAGTAAGAAATGAATAATTTATAAATTTTTATATATCTAAATGAAAGATTTTGATCAAATTTAAATCTGGATCCAAAACACTATTAATCCAAAGGCACCATTAAGGGTATTTTTGTTTTTTTAGTAAGAAAAATTAATTACAACAAAATTTATGTGATTTAAAAGTATTTTTTTAAATTCACGAAATTTAATAGTAAAATAAGTCCTTTAATTAGGACCTATTTGTAATTTATTAATTTTCCCTAACTTCTATATTGACGCGCCAATGATAATTTCACAGAGCTTGTTCTTCGTTATCTAGCTATGAATATAAAGGAGGAAATTAAGAACATAACTACACAAGAACACAACACCTGCGCGATGCATCTAAATAGCAACTAGTAAAAGGAAAACCAACCCACCGAATTGAAAAAAAAAAAAAAATTGTCAATATTAAACAAAAAAGTACTTAAAGAGCTGGCATACATAGTAGAATTTTATAATGTTCAAATTTTTAAAAAAATTAAGAAAGAATGAAATATTTTTTTATTTAAATAAAATGAAATAATCATCGTTATATTACAAAATAATTAAATAAATACTGTATTATGATTATGATTGTTGTGTAACAAAATTGAATTTTCAATCCTATGAACTACCAAACAGGATCAAGTTCACAAAATTTTTTTTTTAAAAGATCAAGGAAAGAAAATAAATGGATGAATAGTTATTGTGGACCTCACACCACCAAACATTTCCTTCGATTCTTTATGATAATTGTAGAAATCCCTCCATTTTTATAGTTTAACTCAGTTGCCAGTTCAATAATATTAATAAATAATTAAATAACATTTTTGTAATTTAATTGAAAATAAATATTTTTTTGATAAATAGAATGCATAAATTTATTTTTAAGTCAAAAAATTTGTAAAATAATTTGATGTCTATTGATTCTGTATTTCTTTTTCATGGCTTAAAAAATAAAAAATGTCAAAAAGTCTAAATAAAATAAAAATGTTATTTCTTTTAAAATTCAAAGCAAGGACGTTTGAAGCAGGTTTCTATTTCTAAAAGCTATATTCTATTTTAAAAAATAAAATAATTAAAAATTGCATTTGAATAAATGTTTTGAATTTAATTATAGTTAAAAATGTACTTCCTTTTTCTTTTTTTTAAAAAATAGAAACATCTTAAAGTTTCTTTTATTTTTAAAACACACTACATTTGATTATTAAAAAATATAATTATCTTAACTAATTTTTATTATAAATCATTATCATTATCCTAATATAACCATTGCTGTATCAGCTTGTTTTTTAAATTTTAAAAACGGTTTTAAATTAATAAAATTAAACAATTTTTTATTTTATTTTTTTAAAAAATCTGAAAGCTATATTATAAAACATTTTTTAAAATTAGAAGCAGAAATGATCTTGTTTGTTTTTTATTCTTATTTTTTAATTTTAAAAAATATTTTGTAATATAATTTTTAAAATTATTTTTTAAAACAAAACAACAAGAAAATATGTTTAGTTGTGTTAATTACAAATAGTTTTAGAATTAAAAAATTAATTGATAATGATGGTTACCTATAATTAATAGTAATTGCTTATGATAATTATTGGTTTAGATAATTGTAGTTTTCAATAATTAAATATAGTGTATTCTAAAAAAATAAAATGTAGACGGCTTTAAAAATGTTTTTATTTTTTGGTTTTTTAAAATGAGAACCATTTTTGAAACAATTATATTCAAAATAATTATCTAAACAAGTTTTTAATTTTTTTTAAAAAATAAAACCAAACATGTGTCATGTCCTTATTATTTGGTGGGGAAAAAAAAGCAAAAAATCTGCAAAATAACGAATAAATTATAATGCTTGTTTGGATATGTCTTTAATTAATTTTCTTCTCAAAAAATTTGATTATTTGGTTTATTAGCCAAACACTTAAAAAAGTAAAAAATTAATTTTAACCATTAAAATTGATTTTTTTGAAAAGTCAAGATTTTGAGCTTTTTCAGAAACGCTGATAAAAAAAATTGAAGAAATTACAAAAAAAGGCTCAAAAAATTTATAAAAAATACACAAAATTTTATAAAAAAACAGAAAACTCTCTTCTCTCCTCTTTTTTTTCTTAGTAAAATTAATTTTTAATAAATTATTCAGACATCTTCAATTCTGTTAAAATTAATTTTAAAAAAATAATATCTAAATAAATTTTGTTATAATATAATCAATTATAATTAAAATTTATTACTTAATTAATTATTTTTATAATTTATTATACTCAACTGAAATTTAAATGGGCAAATAATCTATCTAGAAGCGTGGGCTAAGCATTAACAAATTTAACTCCATTGCCTCGCTTCTGTGAATTAACGCGTTTGAGATCCCACCCCCCTTTTTTTATTCTGTCTTTGTTTTTATTTATTTATTATTTTTTTGGTGGGGCCAACAAACCAATGCTTTGCATTAGTTCAAGTTCAACTATTGCACAATGTCTCATTAACTAAGTGACATCTGAGCTGGCGAGTCCGACTTACCACTTAAGTTTTGAGCTTAGTCTTACTATTACTAGGGAAATGAATAATAAATAAATAAATAAAAGGGTAAAAATGGAAATGGAAATTTTATAATTTAAAAGAAAAACTAGAGGAATAGAACCTGGGTTTTACAGATCCTGGAGCTTGAAAACAACTTGAACAGGAAATAGTATCTTTTGACTTTTTTTTTCCTTTTTAAATAACCCTATGGTACACAATTAAAAAAAATTCTTCAAATAATATTAACATTAAAATAACATGAAATATGAAAAAAAAAAGGTTGCATACAATATGATTATCTTTATTGTATTTTCCTTCTGAAGCATTGTAAATATACGATTTTTTTAAAATATGATAAATACATAATTTTTATATTTATTACATGATACATAAATTAAGTAATATATATGTTATCTTATTATCCAAAGATCATATATATATATATATATATTAATATAAACTCAAATATAAAATATAAGAAAATGAAAAAACATGAAATAAACGCAGTGAAAAAGAACCAGAAAAGAAAGCATAGTGGTTACTCCCTCTAGTTCCTTTTGATTGACACTTTAGTGAAATCCTTTTCATTTCACCTTAATCGTTATTTTAGTAAAAATTAATGCATGGTTCTTAAATATTTTGTTTTTAATAAAAAATAGAATAAGGATAATTTAATAAATTTTTTTCACTTATTAATTTATTTATTATTTTAATCTCTGCATTAAAATCTTCAACAACAGTTAAAAAAGGAAATGAATGGAATATTGAAATAGGATTTTTTTAAATAAATTTAATTATATATATTGAACCAGGCCAAAAATTATATATATATATTTGGCCAAAAATTATATATATTGAATATTTATAAAAATAATTTTTAAAATTCTCATTTTCTGTATAACATATCCCGATTCTTAGTATTATTATTTCAGCTTTAATTATTCTTCTAGGGATTTTGTTCAGACAAAGACATGACAGTGATTTTTTATTCACCCTATTTATTTTTTTCACGGAGGATTGTGGATCTAAGAATTAAATTAAATTAAATTAATTTTTAAAATCTGTATTTTCTATATAGTATATTCCGTAATTGTCCCTCCCTCTTCCCTTTGGTAGAGAGATTCCGTCTCCCGCCACATCAAGTTGCGAAGAATTTGTAGGTTTTGTGCCGTACTGCCACGTGTCCATCTCCCTCCACCCGTCTCTCCGAAATTGGACGATGCAGAATTCGCCGTTACCCTTCACTTTCTCTCAGGAAAATCATCATTATTATTATAATTATTATAATTATTTTTTAATTTATTGAAAAAAAAAACATTTATTTCTTGTTTTTAGTCTGTTTTCTCTCGCCCTTTCTTTTCTCACTCGTTCCGTTCTCCCCTTCCGTTTCCGTCGTGCGCTCTCGCAGGCTTTTCTCTCTTCGGATCGAATTCCCCACCAGTGAGGGAAGCCCCAACCAAGCCAACAATTAAAAAAAAAAAAAAATTCATTGCCTTCCGTTTGTTCTTCTCATCCAAATCTGAATTAATAACGGAATCCAATCTTGCTGCTAGGATTCGATACCGAGAGATTTTGCCTTCGCTCTTCGATTGTTTCTGCGTCGGGGAAATTTAGGTTTCTCTCGTTCGTTTATCATCGTCATCGTCTCGATTCGTTTAGGTCTGATTTTCTCTGCCTATACACTGTTAATTTTTTTTTTCGGCCTCTATTCGGTTTTTATCTTGTTTTGATCTGTATATTGTGTTATTAAATTTTTTTTCTTTTCTTCTTCCATTATTGTGAAACCCAAGGGCTTATGGGGTTCGACCCAAAAAAATAAGAGCAATTTGATTTGCTATTTGGATTCTATTCCTGTCTTCTGATTGATTCTCGGCTTTTTAAATTCTTCCTCAAGTTCTTCTCAGGAAACTCGGTGAAAATTTTGGTGCGTTGTTTTAGTTTGCCATCCGAATTCGAGGGTTTTCTTGTTAGATCGTCCAGAACCTTTTTTTTTTGTTTTTTTAATTTCTCTTTTTGTTTTCCCCTCCCTACATCTCTACTCATTGTTCACCTTCTCAGTTAAAAAACAAAAAAACAAAAAGAAAAGAAAAAAATTAGGGTTTGCGGAGTATCTTATAGTTGGGGTGTATATAGATAGATGAGATGGCCTTGAACTTCTCGCATCGACCAATCTTTGCGGCTCGTGATGTTGACAATCGCTTCGATTATGGAAGGGATAGATGTGATAGGCCTGGCTCACAGGAGTCTGTCTCGAAGGACATTCTTGACCTTTTGCCATCGGATCCCTTTGGCATGGATATTAGTAGTACCTTCACGGCCATCACAGGATGGCTAGAGGATTTGGAGGTCGATTACGTCGGATACGGAGGGAAGGACGTTGGGGCAAGTGATGATAATTATCAGCTCGTTGCTGGGTTGAATTTAATTTGGAACAATGCCATGAGGTTCCATGCGTTTCCAGGCAGTGTGTGCCTTGAGAACAAACCGCACGTAACTAGTGGTTTTGGTGACTGTTTTCAGAATCAAGTTGGAGTTGCTTCGTGCAATGATGACTGTGGATCTTCTTGTAACACGGGTGACATGCTGAGCTTTGGCTATAAAGATTCAGGGATTGATTGTTGGTCCACTGACTCGTACATGGATGATGGGAATCACCCAGAAGGAGATGAAGCAGCTCATCATCCTGCTTTGGGTTATGCTCTCAGCTACCTAGGTGTACGTGACCTTCTTTCTGTTGAGAGAGTATGCAAGTCTCTGAATTCTGTTGTTCGAGGAGATCCTCTTTTGTGGAAGAGTATCCACATAGACCAACCTATCAATGAGAAGATTACTGATGATCTTCTTTTCCAACTAACTAAAAGGGCGCAAGGTAATCTTCAGTGTCTGAGCCTGGTGGAGTGCACAAGGATAACTGATGATGGTCTGAAGCAGGTTCTCGAAACCAATCGCAATTTAATCAAGGTGAGCGATCGAGCATGAATTAGGATGATACTTTGGATTTTAAATTGGATATTATATAAGTTGGTAGTTCATCTACAGCATTTTTTATCCTTTTTGGCGTGAACCTACATCATGTTTATATGGACTTTTATGTTCGTAGTTTGAATATTGTTGCAATCATTGTTGATATCTAATGTTTGCACTATATAACTCAAACCTCTTGAACTGGTACCTTTCTGTAAAAGTATAAGTCATTTAACATTAAACCTATGAATCATCGCACATATGAATTGCCACCTGAATTTTTTTCTCATCCTTCTCATCTGTTTCAAAATTTAAAAGTCGTCCTATTCTAGGTCTGGATTCAGGAATACACTTTAATATTTAGTATCGACCAGACTTTTATGGATGGGATGGGACCTCTGTGTTGGGAAATGCATGAGTTTTCTTCTTAAGTGCCAACGTATTGTGGCTACCGCTGTATATTTTGCACTGAAAAAATTTCCTGGTGCATGTTTCTGCATGCAACTTATTTTCATGCCTGTACTTTTGTAGAAAAAGTGATATTTTCCTTTCTGGTAGGGGGGAAGTGTACCCCGAATTTGATGGTAAGTGTGATTAGATTCAGTTGGTTATCGTCCCATCTGAAATTAGATAACTGTCCAATTGTCTATTTTGGTGCTTGCAAGTTTGGAGTTTAGATGTATATAAGTTTAAACGGCTTGTGCCATTGACAGCTCTAAGCACCTTGATGTAGTTTGGGGTGGTATTTATGAAAGCTTCTTCTTTCTTGTGACTTTGTGGGGATCTGTTTGCTGACTTCTGCCTCTTCTTAACTCTTTTTGTATACAGTTCTTTGAGTGTCGAATACGTTGATTTAGACAAGATTCATGTATTGACAAACCACTAAATTGTTTTCTATACTTTGCAGTTGAGTGTTCCTGGATGTACAAGACTCAGTGTTGAGGGTATTGTGAGCATCCTTAAGGATTTCAAGTCTGCTGGTACCCATGGAGTGAAGAACTTGCGCATAGGTGGCCTTTATGGTGTCACAGAAAAACATTTTGAAGAATTGATGCTTTTGTTGGGCACTGATAGTCAGATGTTGCAGCGATCTCGCAGGCCACATTTTTATCACAGGGAAAACTTGTATTTGTCCAATGAAGATGATTGTGCCATAGATATTGAGATGTGTCCAAGATGTCAGAATTTGAGGCTCGTTTATGATTGTCCAGCAGAGGGTTGCCAAGGGATTGGGCACGCTGCTCAGGTGTGCCGGGCATGCACTCTTTGCATAGCCCGGTGTAGTCAGTGTGGGCATTGCATCAATGACAATGAATATGAAGAAACATTTTGTCTGGAACTACTTTGCTCTAACTGTGCAGCTAATCAAGTGCCAGCAGGAGGCACCAGATAGGTAAGGCTTCTGTTCTTTTTGAACAGGGTTATGGCTGTTGTTATGGTAGGGGCTGAACGTAAATTACATGTGTGAGTGTTATAAGCTCAATTTTCAGATGAGGAAGAGAATTTATGTTGATTCAAAGCTCGAGCGAAAATCTAGGAACATCTAAAAATAGGCTTTTGTTAGAAACCCTGAATTATTGTCACAGAGCTCAACTGTTTGAGAACTTCTGCTGTTATGGCTTGCTATTTTCTATCATCACACTTGGTGTTTGTCTTGCTGAAGAAAATGCAAAAGAGAGACTGAAGAAAAATGCAGAAAAGAGAATTTATAGATGTAACACTTCAGGAGGGGGAAAATATGTTGAGAGATTGCTGCTTACTCGTCGGAAACAGATTATTTAAGGAAGTCCTTATCAAGAATAAAGTCCTATGAAGACAGCAGAAATGTTGGGTTGTGTTGGACTCTGGCGACATTGTTTTGCCCTTCCTGGACTTAGTTTGGTGCATTCACAATGGGAGAGTTTTCATATTGTGGAGAAGCGGAATTGGTTCAAGTTTTGATATTCTGCACATGGAGAAACTCTATTGTATTAGTAGTAACCTGGAGGGGATTGGTGCCATTGTACCACGGCGGTTATCGATCACCTCACCTCACCATTGTTGTAATGAACATTCTTTCTGGTTTCGTGGTGGTCTAGGTAAAGGATGCTGCCACTGGATGCTTTTTGGCTGCTACACGACCTTCACGATTAGCTGTTCTCTCACAATTCGCTCTGTTTGGTGTATGTATTTTGTTTATTCTCTTCCTCCTTGTATACAGAGGAAGGGAAGAAGATAATAATGAAGGGGATGTTAAGTGACACCTTTCACTCTATACCCTTTCAACTTGGTGTATGCCTTTCTACGTGTGTCAGGTGAAATAAAACGGTCTCTAGAATCTGTCATGTGTGTTTGCGCCAGAATATGTTTTGACAATAATGTGCTACTTAATTTTTTCATTGTGCCTACGTTATGGACTTAGGTTGTATAGGTTTTGTTTCGCCAGATTTCTGTGATTAGAATGTATTACTAATTACAGATGTATCTTGTTTCCCCCCAGCATTTACACGATTACATGTTCCTAGGTTATGTTGGCCATGTTTGGTCCCTTGGTAGATAGGGTAGGACGGTCTGGACTATGAAAAGCTTGTCATATAGGAGCTAATCCTTTTGGATCAGACATGTAACAAAAATTATGATTCCCTTCAATTCGCCGGTTATTTTGTATGCCTTCTTTATTTGAAACTGTTATTATAATTTATAAGCTTTAGAAGTTGAATTGAAGTGCTATACACACACCCTCTAGTGTTTGTTGTTGGGTGCTTTTTGTAAGAATTTTTAGTTTTAATACAAGGTACCTGATGGAGGCGTTATTAATCACCTTTTTTTTTTTCCTCCCAATATTACTCACATTTAATCTCATTAATTGTGAAAAAGAATGTAGCGTAAATTTAAATTTTTTTCAATTCAAATAAGGATAAAATTAGAAATTTATTTATTTTTAGATAGATAAAATTAATAATTTAATCAACTTTTTTTAATTTTTATTTTGTGAGATAAAAATGTTTTATAATAGGGATTGGAGGGAGCGTGAATGTATATAGCAGTGTGTGGCAATTTGAAATTTAGAATTGGAAGATTTATTTATCCCTTATCTTGAAGACAGAAGGATGTTATTTACTACTTTCATTCTTATATATAAGAAAAAATAATTATATCACAGTTCAAAAAAAATTGATTAATGACAATAATTATGTCTAGAAATTAAAAAAAAAAAACTGGATCAAAGTATCATTGTATTTAATCAAAATAAAGTTGCATTAATTGTTTTTTTATGACTGAAAATTATGACTTTATAAGGGTAATTTAAGAAAATTATAATAAATACTTACTGAAATATATAATTTCATTTATAAATGAAAATAAAATAACAAGTGATAGTTTCACTTGCGTATAAAAGTGGAGGGAGTATCATTAACATTGGGTAAAACATTGATTCTAAGTACGTTTTGCGGACTGCACAGTTAACGCATGAACAGAGCAAGTTTTTGAGAATCGATGATGCTATTATCATAAACTAGAATGGGTCTCAACGCATTGAATAGAGTTGAAAAACAAGTTACTATTTATATGTGAGTCATACAGCGTAACTGATTAGAGTTTTTGTATTATATATAGAAAATCGCAGCAAGCAACTGATGTATGTCATCTTAACCAAACAAATCTTTGTTGGAATCTTCAAGCGATGCAAATGGAATTGGTTTGTTGATGTTACCAGGAAGGAAGAAAAGGTTAACTTGGAGGCAGAGCATATGTAAACTTGGTTTCAAAGCTAGCAGATTCCTTCTGGCAAAGGAAATGAAGAAGTATATCCACAGCAGAAACCAAAAACGTTCTCTAGCTCGTCCCTCATTCTTAAACCTTCCTTTACGTTTTGGTTCCCACAACTGCTATCTCTATGTTCATGGACTAAAGCAAATAAAGCATACACAAACACACATGATTCTGGCGTAAGGCTGTAGCGAACCATTCCTTGTTTGACAGCATTAAATTGTAAAAGTATTTTTTTAAGAATCAAACTGGATGATTAAATCGGTTGATCCGTTGACTTAGTTTCAACTAAAAGAATAGTTTTCATGATTGAGTCAAGTTAGGCTGGAGTTGAGTTATTATTGAATTGAAAGTCAGAATAGCCTTCAGAAAATTAGATGAGTCTAAACATAATATAAAAAAAGCTAAAAAAAATTTAGAACAACTAGGTAAATTCAAAAATTGGAACTAAAAGCTAACTTCATTTTTAGGTCATTCATATACAATTAGGAAATATTTTTGTTATGAAGATCTTGACAACTGTAGGTGAATATTAAGATATTTTTAAGCCCACTTATACTTGATTTAGTCAAGATTAATTTATATTTAATAAGTTATAAAATTATAATTTTTAATATGGTTGATTTATGATAATGTTAGACATACTTTAGATCTAATTTTTTTATAGAGAGAATCACATCTAAGGACATCTCAAGAAATTTATTTGTAGATAAGGATTAATACAAAATTGTTTATTGTTAAAATAGTAATAGAGATCCCCCCCCAATGGCAACTTATTGCTAGTCTTTATCTATAAATAATTTTTTTGGAAGGCCCTTGGATGTGATTCCCCCTTTTTCATATATAATTTTTTAATGAACTCATTTATTATATATAAATTTATTTATATATTTAATATTATTTTTTATTTAATTATTATGTTACTAGTTCTATCGCAGTTAGATCATGAAAACTGAGACTTGATAACCATTATAGTTTAACATTTAGTCCAAAAACATTTATTTAGGATTAATGAATATCATAGATTTTAAAATATTGTGTGAATAGTATCTTAAACCTTGAACTCTTGAAATATTTAAAAAAATTTTTTAACTTTTAAATTTTAAGTGCTTGAAACCTCACTATTAATTTGGAGGAAAGAGCATTATTTTTTGTAGTTGTGTGGCCGCCTAGTCATACGCTGATGTGTCACTTATTTTAACTCTTAAAAATAATGGTTGTTTTCTTTAACTTAATGGCAGAGTTTTAGATGTTCAAAATTGAGAAATTGATATGAGTTTTTGCTTATTTTCAAAGTTCATAATTTAAGATACTATTTACGTAATAATTTAATATTTAAGACACTGATTAACCTATTTATTTATATACATTTGTTCTTGCCGTACTCTAGTTCTACAGTAACCAATTTTTTTAAAAAAATTATATATTGAAAATTTTTTACGTAGTAAATGAAAAAAGTATGTGGGGATTCGTGAAAGTGGTAAGCATGCAATAAAATAATTGTATATGATGCCTATAATAATTTTTTTTTTGGCCAAAGATACCTATAATAAAATTAGAAATTTGATTCACTCAAATTGTTAATAATATAAATGCAGTTCCTATAAAACGATTTTGCTTTCAGTATGGTCAACACACAACTTGGAATAGCAAATTGTTCTCAATATTTTTAAAATACACAGGATAATAAATTATAGAATAAGTTGTATAGAATAAAACATTAAGTTTTTTATATTATTAATTAATATTCTTGGTTAGCAAAGTTTTAATTTTGGTTCAATTTGATTGGAAGGGATGGAATGAGGTAGGAAATTTTAGTGACTACGATTGAAAAAAAATGAAAAAAATGAGTTATAAAAGTTTTTAATAATTTTGTTATCCTTTCCTTTTTACATCTTTTCTTTATCCTAATTTTATAATTCTATTTATTCATCTTTTCTAGACCTAGATCAAACACATTATTTTTTTTTTCCGTATCATTTTGTTCAATTTTTCTCAAATAAACCCTTCATTCCTTTCGAGTCAAATAGAGGACTAACATCCCATAGATCGTACAAGTGTAAAATCTAGTTGGATAAAAGGGTAGTGTCATGTGAAGAATTTTATAGGCTTAAGGTGAAATTTTTAGAAAAGCTTAGCATGTGTATTTGTTCTTTTCAAATACGAAAAAAATAACTATGATCATATATCAATATAGGGAGATAAAAAGTTAAATTAAAAATGAGAATGTTAAAAAAAGTTAGAGCAAAGTGATATTATATAATTTTTTTATAAGATGATATAATATAAATTAGTATATCATGGATCTCACTATTTTTTTTAAGTAAATAATGAGCTTAGCCCAATAATTAAAGTTATATTAGAAATGATTGAATTTTTTTTTTCAATTGAAAAAAATAAAATTTTTTATTTTCTTTGATCTATAAATTAAATATATAACAATACAAATATCAATATAATTACACACATGATATAAATATACATTAGGATTTTTTTTGGAAGGCTAAGGCAGTGGCTTCATTAGCCTTCAAGCTCACACCACCTTGTAAACGGGTATAAAATCCACTTGTGTAAAATAATCTGACGACCAAAAGATCAACAAAAAGCATCTTTTATAGTAATAGGATTACATTAATCAAGTTAAGACTTTGTTTACTTTATTCAACAAGATGAACATACAATATAACACATTCTTTCTGGGTATAAGAGCTAATACCCTGAAACAAAGAAAAGATTTAAATCTTCTCAAGTTGAATGGTAAAACACACAACCCTCATCACTCCTAAACAAGACATAAATTAATATTATTATTATTTTTAAAAGTTTTGAGAAGATCTAAGTTTTCTATGGGAATGTTGTTAGTGTTGTTGTTTCATGATTTCTGAGATTTTTTGTTTCCAAGATCTTTCATCCATTTGAGGCTGAGAATGCTCTTGACCTTGGCAGATCCAAGCTTGTTCTTCTTCTTGTCTTCTTTGTCAGAACGTGGAGGATCAGGGTGGCTATCCCATTGATCTGCCCAGGACAACCCTGAATCCATTTCTGCTTTGGATTCCTCTGGATGATGAAGATGATGATGATCACTCATATTTTTTTTTTCCTGTTAGATTTCGCCGTTATTTCATATTTGTTCTTTTTACTTATTTTAAACTCTGTTTTCTTAGCCATTGTTATTTTAGTAACAGAGATGGTCAATTTGGTTAAATAGGCTCTGATCATGCCAAGACTGGTCTTTATCAATCCTTAATCCTTATCCTTAATTTGAGGTTTTTCTATTTACCCTCTTAGGATTCTGTGGTTTCAACCTAATTAATAATTTCCTCTTGACTTGGTCTTCTTGCCATAATGGCTAAATTAGGATGCCATCAATCAATCTTAATTGTATGAGCAAAATAATATGACTTCTCCTATATTTTATCTTAATTACATATCCTTCCTTCTAATTTAAAAACTTATGTGAACATTCCACATTATAAATAGTTATAAAACATAAACATATCTTCTATTTTTAAAATATTATTTCTATCCATCCAATCATTAATTAACTGTAATCCTTTTTTAAATATAAA